ACCAACTCAACGACGTCTTCAAGCGGCGGTGCCAGTTTGTCATGCAATGCACCGCAAACCTGTTGAAGCTATCGGCGCCTTCCAGTCTGGCGAGTCTTATGCAATGCGTGGGAACGTCACTCGTCCTTGGCTGCAACCATACGCAGCAATCGGCGCCTTCGAGTCTGGCGAGTCTTACGCAACGCATGGCGACATTGCTCGACCTTGGTGCAACCATGCGCAGCGGCGGGCCCCATTGGAGGATTCCGACATCACGGCCAGTGGCGCTTTTGGTTGGACATTTAGTTACTCAACGGATCCACCCGGTGCCTATAAAAATAGCCCTGCGGCGCGTCGCCAGCAGCTGACCTATGGGTCAGAGAAGCCTCTCGTCGGTTCGAGCCCCTTCGCAGTCGGCGCGCCCGGCGTCCTTGGCAGCGGCGAGTTTCCTGGCGCCCATCGTGACCTTGTCGGTGGTGCGCCTCATAATAACAGCGTGCGAGAGAAGACTTCTCGGCTCTTCGAGTCCCTAAACTGTCGGCCCCAGGGCCGAATTTGTAACGCCTCTATTTCTTTGCTATACATAAACTTTGCCTTAACTCACCGTCGTCTCGTTCGCTCATCTATCAGCTCTGCGCAGAAGCAGTCGCAAGCTTAGTATTACACGCTACCAAACGGCTGGTGACCGTGTTGGCGGAGTTCGGAGCAGTGGCGCCTTCGGGACTGTGTTGGCGTCTCGTCTTCGTAACAGCCCCCTACCTTGCCAGCCAATCATTGATTACAACTTAGGTGCGATGGACATTTTAAATAGCGACAAAAAGCTCTGTTTAGCAAATACAGTGCAATGCGAAACCATGTTGTCACTTCATGTGTAAGTAAAGCAACAGTTAAGGGAAGACGACCACTTGATGAGATGAATAATTCTTGAACATGGGTTGTCACTGGAGCCAATGTTTCGACAAGTCGTCTTGCCATTACAACAAGGCATTAACTGCCTACCTTAGCACATGTGTGTATGCTGTGTACACTCTCCCCCGGTAAAAACATAAGAGGAGAGCAAAAATACAAAAACCGGGTGGGAGGCTGAGGAGAAAGGGATAAATATTGAGATAAGCTGCCGGGCTGAATTGTCAGTAAAAAGAAGCGGAAGCATAATAGTAATAAAAAAAGTATGGGGAAAGGTCTGCATTAGAAAACCAGAAGAGGAGACAGGTATTTCTCTGAATCATAGTTTTCAAAAGCAAGCATCCTGTAAAAATGAGTTTCGTGATGATATGATCAAGACAGTTTGAAATTCTTAGAAGAAAGGCTTAACTCTCACTGGTTTTCACTGTGTATCTACGTACCATATCTGAGTTAAGTTCAATGGCCCCCTTTGAAACCTTTAGATCTAATGGCTGGGGTGTATTAAACTTGTGAATAAAATATGGCTCTGGTATGTTACACAGACAACTTAATTAAGGTGCCAGTGCGATATCAAACAAATTGAAAACTTTCAATCTGTTTGACAACTATACTTCAGAAAACTAGTAGCAAAGCAAAAGTGCAGTGTTACCACCATCCCTGTCAACATTGCTGTCAAAGTTCCAGTAAACAGCCCCGAAGTCCAAAAATTAGAATGTAGAGAAATACTATGCACAATCATGCTGCTACAAGAATTTCGCAAATAAGGAAGTTACAGGGGTTAGAACATTCATTTCAGCTGGTTTCAAATTTTTACGTGGCCTCGCCATTCTTCACCATAGCGAGGGGGAAGGGTGGCTCGTCTGTGTCTCTATCGCTTTGGCTACGTGGCTCCGCCGCGGTGGTCTAGTGGCTAAGGTCTTGGCTGCTGACCCCCAGGTCGCGGGATCGAATCCCGGCTGCGGCGGCTGCATTTACGATGGAGGCGGAAATGTTGTAGGCCCGTGTGCTCAGATTTGGGTGCACGTTAAAGAACCCCAGGTGGTCGAAATTTTCGCAGCCCTCCACTACTGCGTCTCTCATAATCATATGGTGGTTTTGGGACGTTAAACCCCACATATCGATCGATCGATCGATTTGGCTATGTGACAAGACTTCATTGATACATCATAAGCGTGCAGCCAGTGGCTGAGCAGTGCTTCCCCCACATGAGGAGGTGTCATGAGGGCAGGATGCAAAAAGCACCATTGTCCTTGCAGTAACGTAGTGAGACACCTCTTTATCTGGCAGCCTTTCATCCTAGCTATACCGCTTCTTCCAGTAGTCTCGGGCTCTACAACATGGCAGAGGGCAGCACAGGTAACAATTCGGTAGATCGACATACCTTGGGAATCGATGTTATGTGAAACATCCAGAGAGAAGGTGACCGTTTTGTAATTTTTTATTGAGCAACACATTATCAAATGATGCTAAATATATGAAAAAATGTTGTACGCACAAACATAAATTGAACAGTCACACATGTTTTACATAACCAGTTGTTTACACTTGCACATTGGTGCCAACAGTAACATAAGTAGACTGATTTTAAACGAAAGTTGAAGGGACCAGAAAAATGGGTTCTATTTAAGAGGAGTTTTGTTTACTGAGAGATAAACAGGGGTACAATATTCAAGTGCGAAACCAATTATATTAGAGGCAGTTGTTCGATTTAAGCAGCAGTTTTGTTTAAGAGAGTTTCGTTTAATGGGAGTCTACTGTGTTAGGTAAGCTGATATGAAAGGCTTGTGCTCAAGAGAATGGTAGCCTTGGACCCTGCTACTGTATTAGGTAAGCTGATATGAAAGGCTTGTGCTCAGGAAGATGGTAGCCTTGGACACTGCTACATAAATTAACTGTAGTGGATGGCAATTAACTACAACTCCCGATAACCTGACGAAACGTCTGTATCATAGGAGTACATATGTGATGTTTATAAAATTGAATATCCAGCATTGAAACCCAATTGAGCTTTCCCTAACATTGAACCTCGATAGTGTATTTTTTCCAAAGCAGTATCGAGACATGGCATGACTCTGTGGTAGAATACTTGATTGCCATGCAGAATGCTTATGTTCAATTCCTACTGGGACCCTGATGTTCTTTGGGTCAACACTGCCGGTGTCAGTTTTTCTTAACACTCTCTTTAGCAATGTCTGTTGCAGTTTCTGAGTACAGATAAACTGTCAATCACCTGTGGCGCATACCCACTTACCAGTGGCACATACCCGCAGCCACTGTCTGGCAGATAGTGTTTGACGACGTACGCAACAGGATTGTGAGATTATTCATGTCACGACCAGCAGGTCATATTCGTCAAACTGTCTTGCTCTTTCATACTAATTTTGGTTCTCACCAAGTGAAGTGGGTGATCACGAGAGCCCCTAAACGTAGGCAGCTAGATAGACAAACAGGCAGACAGTCACTAAATGTGCCTGGAGTACACAAAAAAATACTTCACATTTAAAAGACCACCAAGCCTACGCGATGCACGCAGCACTGTCACAGCAAAAGCTGGAAGAGCAGCCTTTCAGAGTCTTCTTTAACACTCTTTGGGTAGCTGCTGCAAGCACATTTGCAGGGTACCCTCTACGCTATCAATCATTGTGGCAGGCATTTACTGTGCCATTCTTTGTCATTCTTCTGAGAAGCGTGGTACCCACTGCTCACTTTCAAGAAATTTTGTGCAATTAGTTTTCATGCTGTGGCTGACGACGATGATGAATTATGCCAGAAGCTTTTGTAGTCCGGGGCACAATCCCCCACAGTGGGTATGCGCCACAGTCAATAGGTGAACAAGATCAAGCTTTTGTAATGGGTCGGAACAATCGACAATCCACTCATTGTGCAATTCGCAATATGTGACACCTGGTTGTTCCTTTGCTGTTCTAAAACGCTTTATAACTTGTATTAATGCCATTCTTTTCCCGATATAAAGTCTGCCTAAGGTCAGTTTGCTAAGGAGTCGTAGGAACCAGCATGGCTTGGTGGTAGAATACTGGGTTGGCATGCAAGGGACGCTGGTTCGAATCCCATTAAGTCCTTCGTGATTCTTTATTTTAGATTTGAGTTTTTTTTTCTTATTTCATGCGATAGAGGTTGCGGACACCGGTGACGGCGGACAACTACCACGCGGCACGGGACCCTTATTGTGATACCATAGCAGCTTTCGCTGTAAAATGCAGACTGCATGGCCATATCTACATCACTTCAGGACCAAGGCACCATCTTTAGGGCAAGGGACCAACCGACAAGCTCAGGGGCACATCAAGTTGCCCATGGGCAAGTTCACGTCACTGTGTATATGAGGGGCATTAGTCAGAGGGGAAGAGGCGAGGGAATCGCTTTTTGAAATTAATGGTCTGCGCAGTGCTGTAATTGGAAAATTTGATCGCCAAGGTCTACTCTACGAATTGGTGAGCTTGCTTGTGGGGTCCAAAAAAAAAAAATAGTCGGAGCCTGTTTACTGGCCCTTTAGCATGCTTACGAGTACATGTTTCTATGATGAGAACCTGAAACACTCTTGCTTGTTATGATCTCAATAGTTTGTGGGTTGTATCATTTTGATTGTGTTTACAGTAATTAAGATATTAAATCTTGCATGCGGACAAATGAGTAACATCGCCTTACGGACTCTTGGAAGCTTCTGTACAAAGCTCATAAAAATTTTATGTGACATAAGCGTAGCTCTTCAAACTTTATTGAGTTTTACATTGATGTTGTTTGAAAGAGTTTGCTGGTTCCCATGTAAAAAAATGTAAGAGATTTATAGTAGACAGGGAGCAACTTGCGGCATTTCCTGTCCCTAGAAAAATTTTGTGTACCACTTATTAAACAGCAGCAACTATAATACTGCTTAATCTCTGCTTTTTGTCTAGGCTTTTGGATTCTCCTTGTTTCTTTGTCAATACTTACTGAAGGTTGCCTTGCAAGCTAGTCGCTGTGTACTATTACATGCTGTGCAGTTGCATATCTGTTGAGAATGTGCAGTTGCATATCTATTGAGAATGCGTGTAGATCAGCTGCTTCATAGCTTTTTGCCTAGTGATAGCATTAAAGCTTTCCTGTTCCTTTTGCAGTGAAATTCCTGATGATGGTCCGACTAAAAAGCTGGAACTGGTGCGTACTTTCAGTGTGTACAAGAAAATCGGTGGACCACTGTGATTCAAAGCTAATTCATTTTCCTGAGACTGTGATCAGAAGCTCGGTTGTTGTTTTTTGTGGTCATTACTATAGTTATTATAACATTATTTTTATTTTCTTTGGGCCAACATTTAAAAAAAAGAACAATGCAATCATACAAAATCATCAAAGAGACGAATAGCATAATGAAGAAACTGGAGTTAGTGCTGCTTGCTTGCCTTATCCAGAATATAGTGAGATAGATGACAGAAAGTAGTGGAAAGGGAAAGGGTCAACTATAGCACACTTATTTATTACATACAATGTAACAAACAAAGACTTTTGTTTCTTAATTTATGCAGTGTCATTGCAACAGAAACAGAAGAAAAAACCTGCCATGGTGGCTTAGCAATGCTAAAGTGTTGTACTACTGAGCACAGGCTCATTATCCGGCCATGGTGGCTGCATTTCAAAAGGGGGCGAAATGCAGAAATGCATATGTGTACTTACATTTACATGAATTTTCGAAGAGCTCCAGGTGACCTTATAATCATTTTGTGGTTTGGCACATCAAATTGCAGAATTCAATCAAAAAGAAGTACAGTATGCTGATCTGTAGTTTGAAGTGGATCTGGTCAGGGGTCCATCTTTATGAGCTCAATCCTTGCTCTGCATTGAATGTCTGAGTGACCCTAAGGTTGCCTGGTAGGAAAGTTTGCAATAGATAGCGAATTGGAAAAACTAGCAACACTAAAAAAAAAGCCAACGTGAGTGAAGAGCTATAAAAGTTGCCAAAAGTAGCCACGTCAGTGTGCTCAAACCTGTAGCGTTTTCAGATGAGTGACTAAATGCGAAAGACTCATGACTAAAATGTAGATCAGCACAGCATCAAGAAATTCAAGCAAAGGTAGTTGACTTTAGCAGTAGTTTTATTGCTGGACGACGAAGTTTCTTGAGCTCTTGCGAAATTGACACTTCACTCCTCTTGTGCAACTTGTGGCAGCAATGATAATCGGTACCCTGTGAGTGTGTTCAAATTTACAGTGGCTAACATTTAGGCATGAACAGTTGTCATTTCCGGAATCGTTTTTTGCGTGAGGAAAAATTTGATCGGTTAATATTCCCGAGTCACAGCCCGTACTTTCACCTAATAAATAGCACAAGCTTTTCTGCAGACATCCGATTCCCAATCTCTTTGAGTGCAGAGCGTTGTTGATGCGGAACGCTCCCAATTTTCCTGTTCCCTTCGAATTTCAGCTTAAAGTTGACAAGTACGTGGTCTTCAAATTGGAACTTCTGACAAGCTTTCCTCGGAACCAAGCCCCGTATATAAAAACTCACGATTTTGGGCACTAAAGGTGATAAATTAGATTTTGGGACCTGGAAACATAGCCCAGCCGCCATGTTCTGACACCCTATATTCGGAACGCCAGCAGCTGCGAAATCACCATATATTGATAACTTGCCTCAAACGAAAGGAACAAAAACTATCCAGAAGGGGCCAATATGTTTTTTCTGCTGCTACCGCCCTTAGAAAATAGCCAAATCGGTGCAATGTAGCCCAAGCTGGTGACCCACAGGATCAGATCTCAGCCACAGTGGCTGCATTTTTATAGAACAAAATGTGTGAGGCCCATGTGCTTAGATTTAGGTGCATGTTAAGGAAAACCAGGTGGTGAAAATTTTCAGAGCCCCCTACTACTGTCTTTCTCATAATTATATCCTGGTTTTGGGATGTGAAGCATAACAATTATTACTTGACGTGCTGATTTTTGGAACACTAATGCTCGAAAGCAGGATTCAGCGAGTTTAATTGCAGCACATCATTTTACATTTTAAATGCTGTTGCACATAGTAGGTAATTGCCATGATGTGCTTAATGCGGCCCAAAGTAAAGGAGAACCATACAATGCAGGGGCACAATGCTGTGCCTAAAGAACTTGCCCAATGAGTGGGAAGCGGCAGGGGGGAGAACGCAAGCCATGCTGAAGAACCATTTCTCAGTAACATCTATATTTCGCGCCTGAGTTTGGCTTTGCAAGTAGCCTGGCCCACCTGACACAAACATCGAGTAGCTCAAGCCTTGCCCAGGCCTGAGTTGAGAGGTTGTTAAGCTGCTCGGCCTGCGAGCTGACCCAGTCACAAGCTTTCGGGCCACCCGAAGCCATGTAGTTGGGATTTTCTGTTGTGTCGGGGTTGAAGTGGCCGCGACGCCAACGAAGAAGAAGAACAAAGCGCCACAGCAAGCTGACGCTGCTGGCGGCAGCCACCCACGACTTGGCCGCGTAGCACCGAGAGAAAGAACCGTCTGCTTCGAAGAACTCATCGTCACTAACTGCTTTATTTACAACTATGTACACATATGCCTTATATGCACCGTAGCGGTGCATGCTACAACACATCGCTGCCGTCCGAGGTGCCACCTCGCAACTAAAACCGAAAACGAAACTGAACCGAACAGCACTACACAACATTTTCATTTCGCTAATATTGAGTCATGGTGTACAGAACTTGCTGGGCACATTGCTGTGCACTTTCCTGTCTTATTGCTTCATTGAACACTGTGGACACATCTCATCTTCCTATTTCTGTATGTCTTTTACCCAATTGGTCATTATTGTGTGATAACTATGGTCGTTTTAGTTGATGATATAGTAATTTCAAGTACTTGACAGGAGTGCTAATTGGCAAATGTAATATACATATACAGTTATGAAATGGCTAAAAGCCAGTGCTTTCTGTGCAGTTTCATTTTTATTGCAAACATGTCTTGTCATTTACTGTTACTTTGAAGAGTCATAAAAACCAAACCATGAGGAATGAAGAGGCTATGACTGCACTGCAGCAAGCTGAAGAATGGCTTCAAATACAGGTGAGTTGCACACCAAACTTTGCTTTCAGTTTTTACATTTTTGCTGGGGAGCCTGCCACAGGGAGGGGGCACTGACTGTACCAGATTCTCAAGCACGTGGAAAAGACGCAATGAGTTTTCATTGATCTGATTGATGGAACTTCATTGGCGATGATGATGGACTCTTGCCTTGAATATCTCTGAAGCTTGCCTGCAGTAGCAGTGCACATTCATTGCCACAAGCGATAGTTGCCTAAATACCGGATAGGTAGACCTCTCCTAACGCTGTTTTCTGCTCATTTGTGTCACAGAGCTTTTACTTTTTTGCATTTTGCTTCTGAAGTGGAATGTCATGCAGAGGTGTTGTTGCAGTGCTATTAGTAGTAGAACTATTGAAGTACTTGTGCTAAAAGTTTATAAATGTTCATCTCGACATCTTCCCTTTTTGGCTTCCCCCTTAGTTTTGAAGGTATGCAAGAAAAACAATGACCTAGAGGCATTTTCACCAAAGCGTTGTTCTTTGTCAAAATTTTTCGGCCACATTTCGATGAAGGCAAAACGGTAAAGGCCCGTGTACTGTGTGACGTCAGTGCACGTTAAAGAACGCTAGTTCTCTCATATTCACGTCTTGGTTTCGGGATCTAAAACCCCACATATTATTACTATAATTGTTCAAAATGTTTGCTGTGTCTAGGCTTACAACCTTTATTAGCTGTCGGCTTGACATATTCCAACAAGGTCTAACAGCGGGGCTGCCCCCTCCTTTTTCAGCGTCTCGGCGCCTATAAAAGGCAGGTGCATCTAGCGTCAGGTGGTTTCTTTGTCCACGTTCTGTACATAGGTTGTAAATATAAACGCTTTGTTTTATTCTGGCTACCTTTTGCCTTGTCACTGCCTGGATTTCACTGCAGCTGGCCATGGTGACTGTCAGCATGTTTGTTTTGCCGGCGCTTATGTGGCACGTGTGTGTGAGAGCAGACAAAACGAAGCACGATGTGCATCACACCCATGTGTTGTCACGTGACCAAGCCACCTATGTATCAACGTCTCTGCCCAACTCTGCATCTCAAAACTGAAACCGAAAATGGTCCACATTAGTAGAGCAATAATAAATGATTTAGCAAAAATACACGAATCTTGGTGCATGTATCATGCTTCCTGGAGCTGAAGGAAGCACTTACAGCAAAGAACACATATGCTACAAATTTGGTGGCACCACCCCTCTAAATGCCGCAAGATATTGCGTCCATGTATGCATTCTTCACTGTTTAAATTCCTGTCCTTCCCCGCAGGAGCATCTATGCGTACAGGCGTTTGGTGTATTGCGACACCACAGACCCGAGCTAATAGGGGTTTAAATCTCCTCCCCCGCTTAGCTGTGTGTGGCTTAGCCATGTTTGGGGAATAGGGGATTCTAGGGTTGAGGGCCAGTGCTAAGTGATTGGCCCTTTAATCTACAGGAAGCAGAGGCCAAGCAGTTGCTGTGGCAACTGCTAGGCCTCTGCTTCACGTAGAAGACCCCCCTGAGCTGACTCACCCAGGGGAAATCTGTAGTCGCCTTTTCTTGTCTTCTTCTTTCCCTAGTACATTTTTGTCTTTTATAACTTTTTTGTCTTTCCTGTTTTCTCCTCACTTCTCTTACTTCTATGTTTCTCGACAGCAATGGTGAACCTGGTGTAAATATTCAACCTTGGGTAGATATATTAGGTTATAGCAACCATGTGCAGCTGGTGCTTACGTTTCTTCCATGTCTCGTAGCGTCCCCTCGTTAGGCTTGGAGGCGGGTGGCTGGCATGGCTGCCGAATAAGCAGCATATTTCATGGGATCCGCTTAACCCGACCGAACTGATCGCTTCTCCAAGAGGTGGCGCATCAATGCAATTTTTTAACTTTTCCCTTCTAAGACGGACAACTACCCCAAATTCCACATTATTCACTGCGAGAGTAATGAAAGGAAAGCTAGAAATGTATCACCTTTTTTTGTATCAAAATACCTTATGGAAACCATTGGCGTGGGCTACAAGGCCGCCAAGACGGCCAGTGGTGACCTCCTGCTTGAAGTCAAAAATCATCTATAGTACCAGAGGCTACAGAACCTGACAGCGTTCGGTGATCAGCTCGTGAACATCGCATGCATTGAACACAAAGCACCGTGAAGGGTTTCGTGTCAGATTGTGACTTAATGAATCTGTCCAATGAAGAACCTCTTAAAAAGCTGGAAAGAGATGGTAATCCAGGTGAAGTGTATAACTATAAGGAGAGAAAACAAACAAATTAATTCCCATGAAGCACATAATACTTACTTTCGGATCTAAAACACTCCCTACAGAAACAGTAGTGGGCTACCTCAAATTAGCAGTCAGACCTTACTATTCCAACCCGCGGCACTGCAATAAATGCCAGCGGTTTGGTCACGGTGCCCAGAGAGGCCGAGGGTAGCTTACCTGCACGAATTAGGGCGCTAAAGGACACTGCGCTCACGATGAATGTGACTGAATTTCACTGCCCTAACTGTGATAGAGACCACCCGGCATGTTCCAGGTCCTTGTCTCTGTGTACCCTATCCTTGTCTCTGTGTACTGATTTTTATGCACGATCTATGCACAGAAACAGTATGTCGTAGTCTGCTGGGTGCCAGGACACTGCAAAATTCAAGGGAACGTGTTGGCGCACTAACTAGCTGTTTCCACACACGAAAACTCCACTGTCAATACATCTATAGCTGTCCCTGCACTTGACCTCAAACCCTTCCTTAAACAAAAGCTCAGAGATCATTGGCAGCGTTTATGGGATAGGCAAAAACAAAATAAACTTCATCTCATAAGCCACATATCGCAAATTGGCCGCCGATATCGAAGTCGCGCTACACAGAAGTAACACCAGAATAAGAATAGGACATGCACACACTACCTCGCACCTTTTGTCTGATGGCGATCCATCTCTAATGATGAGTAGAGACCGGATTATAAGCAAATGCTTATTTTGTTCCTTGCGTTCCTATCGTAACATTTTGATATATGAGCATGAATTAGAGGTTAAGAAGGACTTTTATAGTGTTTTTATAATATCTATGAATGCCTAGTTTCGGTGTTCGTGCCTAAATGCCTATAAGTGTCTGTCTTCCAAATCAGCGCTTATGTGAGCGCTATTTAAGCCCAAATTTTGCTTTCGAGCACGGTTTGAAACCCTTAATTATATAAAAAAGGCAACATTGCTATTTCCAAACACTATGAGGTTTAAAGTCCTCTAATTCTAAGAACTTTCGCAAAAAAATAATGCTAACCGCAGTGAAGTGGCACTCGCTGGCCACCATACGCCATAGAGTTTACATGCCTCGGGCGATTGGAGGAGGAGCATAAGGAGTGCAAAAGATGCTATTTCCGCATTCTTAAGTGGAAGCATGTCTCAGCGCCTGCAAGGGAGGAAGAATTAAAGATGGGATAAAAAATAAGAGTGGCTATGGGCGAGGACGCGGCGACAGTCTTCTATAGACAGCTGTCCAGTGTCCTGAAGGAACTGAAGAACCGCCCTGAAAATCCGGGTGTTACAGTGGAAAAGAAACAGCAGGTTTTCTGTGCAGCCGCGGGTAGGTGGAGAACGAGTGAAAAACCATGGAGTGCCACTCATGAAATCCTCATGTTGAGTCAGTGGTGTCGAAGGCCGCCAAATCGTTATACTTCATACAGCGAAGCCTGAGACAGGCACCGGTATGTTTACCATTAACAGTGTATTTAGCATCCATTCACCCTATGCCTGAATACGCTGGTGCCGTATGAGATCTCTTGGCATATGTATTTAAGTGAAAAACATGAAATACAGAGCAGGGCTGCAAGGATTGCCCTAAGCCATTACTCAAGAAATGACAGCTGTACCAATATGAAAAATGATCTATGATAGGAATTTATCATCGCGTCGAATTAAACTGCGGTTAAAGGTCATGTGTCAAGGATTTAAGGGTAAAACTCGCATTCAAAAATGAATGTACCTAAACAATCTTCTTCGCGCAATGGTAATTGTTTTAAGCTTTTAGAATGTCGTATGAGATTTAATATTTATGTTGATTTGTTTTTTATTGTATTCATGACTGAATGGAATGGCTTATAAAGAGAACAAGTGTGGTGTATCAATCAAGGTGTGTTTTCTTTGACATTGTAACTAATCTGCTGCAGCGTCTTCGGATAAAAAATGTGATGTGTATGCGACGTTTCTGTTTACTTCTTTAAGCATCCCTCTTTAGGTGACATAAGAAGTTGTAGTTAGACAATAGAAGGTCTTGCAAGACTAATGAAAAGCGTTCTATCACAGCGATTTACAAATTGGTTCGCTACGAGCCACAAAACTATGATGCAAAGAGGCAAGCATGAACCCAAATAACCACAGATATCCGGTAGGCATATGACTGGACGTACATTTCGGATATTCAGGACATACATCAAATGTACAAAGGTAACAAACTTGTACGTTTGCTCGACATCCCTCTAGGACAGCCAACATGCACATTGACGAGCACTTCAAGAATATATATATATATTGAAGAGAAGCCGCCGAACACTGAAGTGGGTCAAACTCTCAAGTGTTTTCTAGTGGGTCTACCCAAAAAGGACGCCGCTCGCGCCGAGAGTCCGTGCTTGGCCGCTACTGTCGCCATTGTCTATACTCGCTGTGTGCCTGCTAATAAACGCCATAACAAATTGGTGGAGAGTGCTACGATCCCCTTCGATGCCCTTGGAACTGCGCTCACGTACCCTGCAATCTACCATGTCTCACGACGCCTCTCAGCAACCGCCTCCTCCCATGTCACCCCCTTGTCCCAGTGTCCCCAGGATCCGAGATCCACCCATCTTCACGGGCGCCGATAGCACTGACGTGGAGGACTGGCTCGCCATTTACGAGCGCGTGAGCGTCTCCAACAAATGGGACGAGGACGGCAAGTTGACAAACTTGGTGTTCTAGCTTGCGGGCGTTGCAAGCTTGTGGTACAACAACCACGCGTCCGATTTCACAACCTGGTCCAATTTCAA